CTGCTTTCGGCGACCGTCCCACAAATCCGCACAGTCCCCGCCCGGAGCTCTCAGATGGTGCAAACAGCTCTTTTGTTATATTTCGTTCAGCTCTCCCCGTTGTACTTACTGGAGGTTTGGTCCAGATGCCCTACTCGGTCAGAGCCGGAGCAGCTCTCTGAGTTCAGAGAAAACTGACTTGACTGATTCTGAGCTGCGGAGTCTGACTGGCCTGAGTTCAAATCCCAGCTGTGATTCAGGGGGTGCTAGGAGGCGGGTTCCATGTGCCTAACTCCCCTCACCGGGGACCAGGGCTAATGCTGCTGCTGACAGGAGGGTGGAGTCAGGTAAGCAGGGCTGATGAGGGGTCTGGAACATGACAGAGGTACTGCCCAGCACAGGGGACGTGTCCTGTGATGACCCGGAACCCTTTTCCCTGACCGGTGGCTTTCCTTGTAAATCACCTGTCTACAGGCTGATCACCCAGGAATACGACCTTCTTCCCAGCTTGGCTCATTTTCTAGGAAAATTACCTCTGACATTTGACCTTTGACCTGTACTATCTCGGGCAGGTAGAAGCCAAAGAAAGGAACAGCACCTGCAAAGACGGAGGGGCGAGTGCCTGTGAATTACGGGGGGAGGAGGGGGCGCTGCCAGCATCAAACCTGGCTGCCGCGTGCAGCGCGAGTTGCAGACGGTGGCTTAGAGGCCACAGGGATGCTGCTGCTAAGAACAGAATGAGAAAGGGCCTCCCCCCCTCATTTCCTGAGCGCTCCCCGGTGCCGGGCTTGTGTGTGCGACGCGTGAGCTCACCCAGGACTCACTGGGCCACCGCGTGGCTCTCATCACTAGCTCGACGTGACCTGGGAGAAGGGGGAGCACAGGGAGGTGGATCGCCCACCCCAGGTCACACGGAGAGTACGTGGCAGAGCTGGGGTTCCCCCCGGGGCACCTGGCTCTGCAGTGGCGCTCTGGTCATCACGTGGCCCGATGGTGCTGGGCCGTCACTGGTGGGGATGGGAGATAGGAGAGGTCCCGCCTGCCCCCCTGGAGGCTCCAATCCGGAGTTCCGTGAGGGGGACTCTAAACGTCTCCTCCAGGGGATTCTGCCGGCAGCCCCCTGGCAAACCTCGTGAGGGAGCAGTCAGAGCAGAAATGAAATAAACAGGTGAACCCAGGAGCGTGTTAACACTCCTGGCTCCTAGCTTCTCACTGGACGTCACGGATGAAAACTCTTCCTTGATTGGACTTGGTTTCAAGTCCACAGGACACTCCGGCTTCTTCGTAGTTCGATGGCAGGTGTCCACTTGGACCTTTTGCTCCCATCCCATGTTCACAGAGTACCTGGTCCACAGGCAGCTTCAGAAAGGCCTTATCGGGTGAACAATTAGACGGGGAGGGGCCTGTTGGGCTGTTTCTCTGGAAGGCCATGCAGGAGGCTCATTCTCACGGCCACACCGCACGCCCCGCAGCCCTGGCTCTGTCCGCTGTGATTTTCTTGTCCCCGCTTATTCCTAGGGCATAGCCTTTCAGGATCCTAGGCAAAGCCTGTCGTGTTTATCAGCGTCCTTCCCCCGTGGCCCCTGGAGCTCTGCTTGGCTTCCCACCGCTCAGCTGCCACCCTCACACGCAGACCCTGCCTTCACCTGCGTGGAGGGGACAGGCAGCCTCCAGGCCTGTGCCAGCTGTTCCTGGCTTCTCTGCTGCTTTCGGCGACCGTCCCACAAATCCGCACAGTCCCCGCCCGGAGCTCTCAGATGGTGCAAACAGCTCTTTTGTTATATTTCGTTCAGCTCTCCCCGTTGTACTTACTGGAGGTTTGGTCCAGATGCCCTACTTGGTCGGAGCCGGAGCAGCTCTCTGTTCAGAGAAAACTGAATGGACTGATTCTGAGCTGACTGGCCTGAGTTCAAATCCCAGCTGTGATTCAGGGGGTGCTGGGCGGGTTCCCTCATGCGCCTAACTCCCCTCACTGGGGACCGGGGCTAATGCTGCTGCTGAGAGGAGGGTGGAGTCAGGTAAGCAGGGCTGAGGATGGGTCTGGAACATGACAGAGGTACTGCCCAGCACAGGGGACGTGTCCTGTGATGACCCGGAACCCTTTTCCCTGACCGGTGGCTTTCCTTGTAAATCACCTGTCTACAGGCTGATCACCCAGGAATACGACCTTCTTCCCAGCTTGGCTCATTTTCTAGGAAAATTACCTCTGACATTTGACCTTTGACCTGTACTATCTCGGGCAGGTAGAAGCCAAAGAAAGGAACAGCACCTGCAAAGACGGAGGGGCGAGTGCCTGTGAATTACGGGGGGAGGAGGGGGCGCTGCCAGCATCAAACCTGGCTGCCGCGTGCAGCGCGAGTTGCAGACGGTGGCTTAGAGGCCACAGGGATGCTGCTGCTAAGAACAGAATGAGAAAGGGCCTCCCCCCCTCATTTCCTGAGCGCTCCCCGGTGCCGGGCTTGTGTGTGCGACGCGTGAGCTCACCCAGGACTCACTGGGCCACCGCGTGGCTCTCATCACTAGCTCGACGTGACCTGGGAGAAGGGGGAGCACAGGGAGGTGGATCGCCCACCCCAGGTCACACGGAGAGTACGTGGCAGAGCTGGGGTTCCCCCCGGGGCACCTGGCTCTGCAGTGGCGCTCTGGTCATCACGTGGCCCGATGGTGCTGGGCCGTCACTGGTGGGGATGGGAGATAGGAGAGGTCCCGCCTGCCCCCCTGGAGGCTCCAATCCGGAGTTCCGTGAGGGGGACTCTAAACGTCTCCTCCAGGGGATTCTGCCGGCAGCCCCCTGGCAAACCTCGTGAGGGAGCAGTCAGAGCAGAAATGAAATAAACAGGTGAACCCAGGAGCGTGTTAACACTCCTGGCTCCTAGCTTCTCACTGGACGTCACGGATGAAAACTCTTCCTTGATTGGACTTGGTTTCAAGTCCACAGGACACTCCGGCTTCTTCGTAGTTCGATGGCAGGTGTCCACTTGGACCTTTTGCTCCCATCCCATGTTCACAGAGTACCTGGTCCACAGGCAGCTTCAGAAAGGCCTTATCGGGTGAACAATTAGACGGGGAGGGGCCTGTTGGGCTGTTTCTCTGGAAGGCCATGCAGGAGGCTCATTCTCACGGCCACACCGCACGCCCCGCAGCCCTGGCTCTGTCCGCTGTGATGGGCGGGGAGGACGGGGCTCTGGGCAGGCTCTGGGCAAGAGCTTCCTGCGGTGAAACCCAGTTTGTTAAGTAACGACACCAGGGGAGTGGTGGCCACTAAGCAAAACGAGGTCATAGTTGAAGGGCAGTAACTACATTTGTCACATGTCACCATCGTTTTATGGTTGAGCTTAGAGAGAAAGAAAGGAAGGTGGGGGAGCCTGAAAACATACAAAAATATCCTGAAAGGGCTGGCAAGCTTTTGATGATTGAGTAAATGTTGATCTCCCACCAAAGACCCTTCATCCATCCCCGTGGGCAACAGCAGACTGTAGCGGCGAATAGCGCGGGCTCGGGGGCCATGCAGCCTGGGTTCAAAACCTCGCTCTGCCTCCTTGGTAGCTGTGTGGCCTTGGGCAAGTCACTTAACCTCTCTGGGCCTCTGTTTCTTCGTCTGGGTAACTGGATAATATTACTTACCTTTTCTGGTTAAAGAGCAAACGGATACATATGCATAAATTGCTTAGGACGATGTCTGGCACGTCGTAAGAGCTCAGCAAATGTTCACTGTCATGGGTTGAACCATATGAAATTGCTGATGTTATGCTACCTTCTCCCTATAAACTCAGGGTTTCAGATGGTTTAAATTAGTATTATTATTGCAAGACTAGAGGCCTGGTGCACTGATTCATGCACTGGTGGGGGGTGTGACCCGCGGGAATCAGCCCACTGTGGGAACGCTGCTCATCCCGGTCAGCCAAGCGGCTGTGGACCCGCCCTCTGAGCGGCTGCTCCCACTGTGGGAGCGCACTGACCACCAGCCCCTGTATTGAGCATCTGCCCCCTGGTGGTCAGTGCATGTCATAGCGACTGGTCGTTCTGCTGTTGGGTCGCTGGGCTTTTATATATAAAGGTAAAGTTCAGACTCCTTAAGTGGGCGTTGACATTCTATGCACACATTGTTCTGTGTAGAATGACTTCAGTTTTTAGCAGGTAACAGAATCCTGCCCCCAAACCCCCTCAGACACCACTCCTCCAGCAGGCCTCCCCTCCTCAG